CCAAGGAGCCATCCCAACCCGTGAAGAGTTGAGAACGATCATCCGCTACCCGATCCAAACTAGGACCTGGCTACTAAAAGAGCCATCCCAACCCCGGAAGAGTTGTGAACAATTATCCGCTACCCGATTCAAGTTGTAGGACCAAGCTACTAATCAACAAAAGTTGAGAACTGGAAACATTATTAGCGAGTCATTTAGGTGACGACCAACAAAAGTTCTTAAGAAAATTGAACTAGATCTTTTATTTTTGAATTCAGCACCGATTAAAAAACAAAAAAAAATAGAATCCGATGAACAAAACTTGTCGCGAAAGAGGAACAAAATTTTAGTATTTTTTAATTTGACACGAAAGAAAAGAATGAAAAAAAATTAAAAACAAAAAAGGTTAGCACCCGTCAGAAGGCCAAGGAGCCATCCCAACCCCGGAAGAGTTGAGAACAATTATCCGCTACCCGATTCAAGTTGTAGGACCAAGCAACTAATCAACAAAAGTTGAGAACTGGAAACATTTATAGAGAGTCATTTAGATGTCGACCAACAAAAGTTCTTGAGAAAATTGAACTAGATCTTTTATTTTTGAATTCATCACCAATTAAAAAACAAAAAAAAATAGAATCCGATGAACAAAACTTGTCGCGAAAGAGGAACTAAATTTTAGTATTTTTTAATTTGACACGAAAGAAAAGAATGAAAAAAAATTAAAAACAAAAAAGGTTAGCACCCGAAGGCCAAGGAGCCATCCCAACCCGTGAAGAGTTGAGAACGATCATCCGCTACCCGATCCAAACTAGGACTTGACTACTAAAAGAGCCATCCTAACCCCGGAAGAGTTGAGAACAATTATCCGCTACCCGATTCAAGTTGTAGGACCAAGCTACTAATCAACAAAAGTTGAGAACTGGAAACAATTATAGAGAGTCATTTAGGTGTCGACCAACAAAAGTTCTTGACAAAATTGAACTAGATCTTTTATTTTTGAATTCAGCACCGATTAAAAAACAACAAAAAAAGAATCCGATGAACAAAACTTGTCGCGAAAGAGAAACTAAATTTTTGTATTTTTTAATTTGACACGAAAGAAATGAATGAAAAAAATTAAAAACAAAAAAGGTTAGCACCCGTCAGAAGGCCAAGGAGCCATCCCAACCCGTGAAGAGTTGAGAACGATCATCCGCTACCCGATCCAAAGTAGGACCTGGCTACTAAAAGAGCCATCCCAACCCCGGAAGAGTTGAGAACAATTATCCGCTACCCGATTCAAGTTGTAGGACCAAGCTACTAATCAACAAAAGTTGAGAACTGGAAACAATTATAGCGAGTCATTTAGGTGTCGACCAACAAAAGTTCTTGAGAAAATTGAACTAGATCTTTTATTTTTGAATTCAGCACC